ACACAACACACACTACATGCACTACACACACACTGTATCCACTACACAAACACAAACACTATATCCACTACACCAACGCACACTACATGCACTACGCACACACACAGCACCCACTACACAAACACATATTGCATTCACTGCACAAACACACACTGCATCCACTACACAAACACACACTGCATGCACTACACAAACATACATTACATGGACTGCACACAAATTAAATCCACTACACACACACTACATCCACTACAGACTACACAAACACACACTGCATGCACTACAGAAACACTGCATCCACTACACACACTGCATGCACTACAGAACCACTGCATCCACTAGACACACACACACACATTGCATGGACTGCACACACACTAAATCCACTACACAAAAACACACTACATGCACTACACTTCCACTACATCCACTACACAAACACACTCACACTGCATCCACTACACAAACCCATACTGCGTTCATTGCACAAACATACACAGCATCCACTATACAAAAACACAATATTCACTACACAAACATACACTGCATGGACTGCACACACATTAACTCTACTACACAAACACACTACATGCACTACACATACACTGCATCCACTACACAAACACACTCACACTGCATCCACTATACAAACACATACTGCGTTCATTGCACAAACATACACAGCATCCACTATACAAAAACACAATATTCACTACACAAACATACACTGCATGGACTGCACACACATTAACTCTACTACACAAACACACTACATGCACTACACACACTACACAAACACACACTACATTCACTACACAAACACAGACTACATGCACTACACATACACTGCATCCACTACACAAACACATACTGCATGCACTGCACAAACACACACTGCATCCACTACACAAACACATAATGAATGCATTACACACACACACTTCATCCACTACACAAACACACACTACCTCCACTACCCACACCCTCTGCATTCACTACACACACCATATCCACTATACACACTTTCTGTCCACTACACACACTGCATCCTCCATACACACAGTCTGTATCCACTACACACACTGCATCTCTATATACACACTCTGTATCTACTACACACACACTCTGCATCCTCTATACACACTCTGTACCCACTATACACACTGCATCCTCTATACACACACTCTGTATCCTCCATACACACTCTGTATCCACTATACACACTGCATCCTCTATACACACTCTGTATCCACTACACACACTGCATCCTCTATACACACTCTGTATCCACTACACACACTGCATCCTCTATACACACTCTGTATCCACTACACACACTGCATCCTCTATACACACTCTGTATCCACTACACACACTATCTCTGCATACTCTATACACACTGTATCCACTATAAAGACATTGGATGCAATACACACACACACACACACACTCTGCATCCTCTATACACACACTGCATCCTTGTGGGTGGAATTGGGGGTGCACCTCAGGTGCCCAAACCTTGAGCTGTATAGAGGTCCCCAAAATTTCTGATGGCAGCACCTAAGTATACAGGTATTGGCTGTGGGGGAAGACTCAACTCATACTAATCTGTCATTGGCTGAGATACACCATTTACCTTCCAATTCGTTACACATTTGTACCTAGAGTGTTCTTTCAGCTATGGATAGGTAAGTATTAATCATGAAATAAATAACTTGGCTATACAAGATTACAGTATTTTCAAAAAATATTATTCCTCTTTTCCAGTAAGAGACCACAATTCCATTTTTTTAAAGCATCTAATTACAATGGCTGCTAAGGAAACACTTCAGGCTCACATACAGGTAAAGTTCAATGTTCAGTTCGTTCTTTTCTTATTCTTTTTTAAAAAATAATCATTAGTTTTACTCCTTATGCCACCCTTTCTATCTGTTCCTCCAAACCTGTAATTTTGCTCCAGAATTACTGAAGTACATGAGTAACGTGTAATGCATTAATTTCCTACAGCAAAAAAACTAAATTGAACTCCTTGACTTACTTGCTGAGCCTCTAAAGCATTGCTAATGGATAAATACAAACTCTATCGTTCTTGTATGGGGAGTAGCAGACACTTCCTGGTTTGGTGAGAGCTCATTTCAGTTGCTGCAGAGATCGTGGGTTGTAAAGTTTAAAAAAAATGTTTTTATTCTTTGTATTAAGTTGTCTTTAATGTGCTATCTATGTAATGCATTAAAAAGAATCAATATGATCCAACCTGTAGTGTTCCTTTAATGGATCACTATAGTGTCAGGAAAACAAACTCGTTTTCCTGGCACTATGTAATCCTTAGAGTCCCCCCTCCCTCAGGGCCCCCATCCCGCTGGGCTGAAGGGGTTAAAACCCCTTCAGCCACTTACTTTAATCCAACGCCGGGCTTCATTGGCGCTGGTGACCTCTCCTCCCACTCCGACGTCAGCTCCCGAGTGGAGTGGAATGCGCAGGCGCGGCCAGAGCCGCGCGCATTAAAAATTCCCATAGGAAAGCATTTCTCAATGCTTTCCAATGTACGTTCTGCACGCTGAATGAGATTTTCGCATTCAGCGTCACAGAAGCGCTCTAGCGGCTGTCAGGAAAACAGCCACTAGAGGCTGGATTAACCCTGCAATATTTTTACATCTGAAGGTTGAAAACCTGGGGGACCTAGCACCCAGACCACTTCATTGAGCTAAAGTGGTCTGGGTGACTATAGTGGTCCTTTAAGTCATTTTAGTATCAACCAGTGTGTTTGAAATCCCTAATATGCCAAAATGTTTCATACAACAGACTCTTTAACTAAGAACGTACACATTGATAACACAATGTAACTGTAAATAAATAAAACCTTTTCACATTTTCCCAGGTGTAGCAGGTTGTTTCAAGAATTTATTGCAAGTTCCTCAAGTTGAGACAATCTGATATAGATGATGATTGATTTATAGCATGCTCTTATTACTCGTTATGATGAAACTACTGGCCTGACATCTAGTTTGATCCGACCTGTCACTGCAAGACCACTAACTCATTCTTTTCATGTTACTTGTTTCTTCCTTTTCTTATGGTTCAAATTACATTTATAGTCTTGTCCAGTTTTTGAAGACTTCCGTAGAAAAATTCCTTATAGGATTGAAAACCCTTGTCACTGGTGAAACATCTGGGAGTAATACTCAACATTACCGGTGGTCAGAGGTGGTATCTCTAGATCACTGAGGCCATCAAATCCAGAGGTGGAATGGCCCTACGGCAGGTGTAGGCAACCTTTGGCTCACCAGAATTTGTGGACCACATCTTCCATAATGCTCCCAAATCAATAATGTGTCCAAAACACACAACATCTTGAGTGCTGAAGGTTGACAAGCCCTTGTCCTAGGGGACATTGATGCATTTGGCACAAAAATGAACACTCTTGGACCTCTGACCAAGAACTGAGAGTAATACCTGATGTTTTGTCTTTAAGTTGTGGAAGAGAATTGTCACATCTTTTAAGATGGGGGATAATGAATACAGGTGATAAAGACAAGCAATTCAACGGACATAGTCAAGGGCCTTCACCGAGTGTCTCAATAAACAGGACTTGGGTAAATACAACAACCAGATGGACTGAAAGAGACAGACCCTGAGGCTGTATGAAAGGGATTGACAGATGGGAATAGAGAACAGTCTAGGAACATTATACAAAATAAGAAAGGATAAGGAAACAGCGAAGCTGCAGGCAACTGAGTAACAAGGGACACTGTAAGCAACTTATGACTCAACATCTAAAAAAACACAACCAGACCTCGGAGTACTAAATACACACTAAATTTTACCTAAAAAAGCGATCTTTCTTCAAACACATATAGACATAACATACATTAAGCATGCAAAAGTGGGCTATGGGGTCAGCTTTCTATACAATCATAGCCCCTCAGCCTTAGTAAGTCTTTGGAGTGTGGGTCCATCTATACGATGCTCCTCTTCTTTTATATTGTGCAATGAAATACACTGCTAAAAAATTAACCAGGTTCGCTAAGCTAGAAAAAGGAAATAAAGTCATTAAAGAAACCCAGAACATCTTTATTTTTATTTTTTTAACTTTTTATTTTTTTTTAAGTAATCTCTGGAGATCTGGGACCTTCTAATTGCGTGTTACAACTCTCCTGTCCACCAGCCAGTGATGTGGTTTGAAATCTGGAACTGAATTTAGCAATCCAAACCCATATATATTTTGTAGTAAAGTGATTGTCCTCTATTTATCAATTAAGTTGTATATTCCTTAAAGATCCATTAAAGATTAAAAAATATATATATATCATTGGTTTATTTTTGGTTGCTATTGTGAAAGTTCTTGCAATGATAAATCTCTGCTCCCTGATGTCCACTTTGTGCACAGAGCCTGAATAACACACACAAGGGCCATTAAAAGAAAAGGATCTATATTAACTAAAAGTATAAATCACCCTTTAACAAGAAACACACAATACATAATTAAATAAACAGCAGCATCAGGCTATATTTAATGTCAGTGGATGTGCACTGTGCCTGTGTAAAACACACAGGGATCATTAAAAAAAAGAAATCAGAAAAAAGTCCATTATTAACTAAAAGTATACATTTCCCCTTCAAAAATATTACCAAATATAAATGTAAGTGCCATACAGTGTATTTAATATCAGCTGACACCAGAGGTAACAAAGTATCACAATCCCCTTCCCTGTCATCTCCCCCCTGAGGCCCCACATAGTTACCCCTTATAGCCCCCAGCCACACACCCACAAACACTGACACAATGTAAAGTGCCCTGTCTATAGTCACCCCATGCCCAGCAGGCGCCCCATCCCTCACACCTTGCTCCTTCACCATATCTCATTCCCTGTAACCCCTTGTTGTACCCCTCCTCCCATTTCATTCTCCTGCTGCCAGTTTCTCCCTCCTACCCCCCATGTTCTGTCTCTCCTCCCTCACACTCCCCCTCCCCCCTCTGTTGCCAGTTCCCCCCTCTCCAGCTCCCAGCTCAGTACTAGTATCTTGGTGCCCTGGAAGGAGAGACATTTCTAGCAGGACTGCAGTGAAGGAGATAGCTGCACTGCTCTGCATCTGTCTGTTGCCTTCTCCTCCCACCCACCCCATTTCATCACAAGCCTGAGCAGCCTCTCTCTCCAAATCCCTCTATGCTTTCCCCTGGATCACAGCAGCAAAACAGAGACCCCCAGCACTGCCTCATACAGCATGGAGCCCTCACACTGCCAGCAGAGGAAGTGGGGGCTATAAGGATGGATTTGTTCAGGGTGGCAATCCAGGGGGTGCAAGGCTGAGGATGGTGGGGGTCAAGCTGAAAGGGTGCCTGGAATCCTGCAGCAAGCTCATTAGAGATCCTCTCCTTTCCTCTGCATCACCAGTGCAAAGAAGAGGTAAGTGCTGTCTGTGAACTGCAGTGTGGTACCTAGGGTGGATGTGAGCTAGGTAGCACCTTGTTTGGGGTTTGCACAGCAATGGGCTGGCCATTCAGAGAATGCTGTGCTGACAGTACATGGTGCAAAAACATACTGACAGGCAAGTCCAAAAAAACAATAACAAACAAACAAAACCTGATTCTGCAGCTGAATATTATCCTCAAATAACTCTGTATAACCATCAGCCTCTATAGAGGGTGCACACCTGTCTGGCTATACTCAGGTACTGTCATGACTTACGTGCTATCAGTCCAACACTTGTTCAGCCACTGACTGACAGCAGAACATCTGACAAGCTGTATATTGAGAGATACTTAAAATAAAAAACAGCACCTTCTGCAAATCTGCAAATCTGATTGCATTTTACTTTTTAATGTAAAGCCTGTATTCTGCTTTTGCTGCAGCTAAGTGGGCAGCTCCAGGCCTCCTGCTGGTTAGGGCACTGCAACTCCCATCACCAACAACTCCCCTCACATGCATGTGGTTGAGGGTGATGAGATTTGCAGCTCAACAGACACTGGACAGCAGCAAAACTCAAACTTGGAGCAGAGAAGCCTTTGCCTTACTTTTACTCTGTGCTCCCATCACACACAGCCAGTATCTGGCTGAGGTTAAGGGGATTTATCTAGTGAGCAAAAACTGGACTACTGAAAAATGCAGTTTAGAAAAAAAAGGATTCTTTAATTTCTCTTCTGTTTCTCTTTCCTCCTCACACACAGCCAGTATAGGGTTGAGGGTAATGGGACTGGTGGCCAAGCAAACTTTAGACAATGCAAAAAAATTGTCTTGCAGATAGAAGGGTTCTGTCTTACTTTTTTTCTGTCCACTCTCCCAAATCCTAACTGTTTTATGGCACTATTGATTTAAACATCTCCAGTGGGGCTTAACCTTTTGTGTGCCAGAAGTGGGTTGCACAAAATTGGAATTTTACAACAGATGTTACCTGTTACCTGCCTGGCTGCCCAGGTGTACCTGTGCCTTGAGCATTGGTTTGGGCAGACATTTGTTGCACTTTTGCAAAAAAAACAGACAAGACATCAGTTTCATCAGACTTCCCATATATAAATGGTGGGCTGGCAGATTAAACAACTTTCTCTCCTTATATTTTTGATTTGTGGCACAAACTATTTATTTTACAGATCTTCTCATTCTTCAGTTCACCTTGGCATTTAGTGAACATCGTGAATAAAGCCCCCTCACCCCTCTATATATATACCTGTGCACACTTGGTATATGTATTATGAGATAGGCTGTCTTCATGTAATAATTATAGGAATTATGCAGTAAACAGTGATTTATAATGAGCCGATGAACAAATTGCTAAATTTAGACAGCAGGATTTAATCCCCAACCTAGCTACGTGTGACTAAATTTAGCAATCCATGTTTTATTTCATTCCAATTCACTGTATAATGAATAAACCTTACAATAGCAGCAACGTGTACATATCTATATAGAACTAATTTCCAAGGCCAGGCGCCCTGCGTATAGTATGGGTGTCTGTAAATCACTTCCACAGTATGGGCTTCTTTGTCATTCGTAGCTTTAATGTGTCTAATGAAACATAGCCAAGATTTGAAAAAGCCAATTTGGCAATTAAAAGGTAAGACATTTATTGAAACTTATGCAAACATTTTTTTTTCAAAAATAAAAAATTGAATAGTATATGTATTTATGAAAATTTAATTCTGGTTCCAGGTGCTAAAAATTGTGCAATTGCCATGGGAACCAATATAATGTTCCTGCTTATTATCCTACAGTTAGCACCTTGCTCTATGCATGCTCTTTGTAGATATAGACATTCATTGACACATAGCCCTAATGATGTCAGATACCAATCACTCCCCTGTTGCCAAACTAAATTATGGATCACAAATTAATACTGAAGACATAATTTGCTATATTTGCAGCAAGGTGTTAATTTCGCTGTAGGGGACAAGTGGTCTTCAACTTTCTCCTCAAGCTGTGAGCTCAAACCTCTTGCAATCATATTTGTAGTTTGGTTTTGAGACTAACAGGACCCTGTCCTGATGTTATCCTTGTGTAAGCTGTGGGTTACCATCAATAGTAATGGAAACAGCAGGCTGAATAGTTCCAAACAGAGAAACCTGAATATTCTGAGACCTACTGACCTACAGGTACGGGAGATGATGGGTCAAATTACTGTCTATGATTGATTTGCTACACCTATAGTATTATTTAGAAAATTGAAATGTTCGAAATGGTTTCAATCGTCATCTCTGGAGGTTAACTGGATGAACATAATAACATTATTAATACACAGTGGCGATAGTACATAATTTGACAAAATATAGTGTGTAACGTGTAGGACAATATTTTTATGAAGCAATACAAACATAGTATCAGGAAAGATACATTTACATTTCACTGGTTATTATGCCTGATCTGTAATGTAGATTATGTTACTAGCCCAACCCAATGGCGCCTAACCTATTGGCCCCAGAAGAATTAAGGACTGTGTTGACCCACCCTGCTGGGCATTAAACCAGTATTGTAGAGATCTGATAAGGTACTACATTTGGTTACACTAATACATAAGCTATTCCATCGGCTCAGCTTTATGGCTACCAGCCCAGTTGTAAAACCAGCTGTTCATTTCAAGCATATGTCCTTTAAATGTGGGCAGAACCTCTTGAAACATAGTCCGGGAGTGTTGACAGGAATTGATGATACTCATTCTAAAGATACATCTAGCCAACTTTCTCAGAACCTTTATGATATGCTGTGAAACGCGTAGGCATCTTAGACTTTACTCAGCCACACCCTAGAGCAGGGTAAAAATGTCCTCCGTGTCCCTTGTTTAGCTTCTGTGGACTCGTGCGTGAGTTAGCTTGTTATCTTTTTGTAAAAAAAATTATTATGAATATCTGCCTGATTGCAAAACAAAGTAAATTTTCCCCTGATTTTTAAAATTAGTAATGTTTAGACTGGTATCTTTCTCCAGGTGAACATGTTTTTGTACTGTTCTGCACACGCCTGTGTGATATGATAATTTTTTTTGAACATGTCATAGCTAAAATTTATATTTGAATAAAGAAGACTCAACTAATGATGTAACCAACTCCATTTGACGTTTGGCATTTGTCGAGTTCGTATACCCACCTGTAGACATCTAGATTGTCAAATCTCCATATCAAATCATTGGACGGGTCATTAATTGATTACTGTTTTTAAAAGTCCAAAACCCTACCAGCTTATAATTTAAAGTGTGGTTTATTGCAAGCAATTGCTGGATCTCAATACTATTAAGAAATATGAGTCTACTGCTACGAACATGTCCAAATAATAGTAATGGGGACAATGATTAACTGGTTTGAATGTGAGATCGGGTTAGGTAATTGGGCAGGTAATGGAGATATGCTTTGTCAAGTCAGTGATGCAAAGGAATCATATTGATTGCATCTAAGATTAGTATAACGTGGGGTCTGTCTGAGATCAGAAGATCGATAGACTGAGAGAGTCTTGTCCATGGAATGCCTGGGTCTCAGTAAAGAGATATAATGCATCTACTGGATGCTGAGAATGTTGTATGATATGAGATGATATCACTGTGTTTGTGTCTAAGGCCGCACCGAACATGCTGGACTAGACTCTGTTAAAGTTGCGTGAAATCATCGTGATGCATGGCATGGCTCTCACTACATAAAATATGGCTTGCCTTGGGTGTATGAATTAAAAAAGGTATTCATGACATTTCCGAAACCTTTCGCTATTTCAGGTTTTTTTGGGGGGAGGGCGGGGGGGGAGGGGGGAGGTTTACAGCCACAGAACATTCCTTATAATATATGCAATAAGTAAATATTTATTAAATAGAGGAGAGTAGCCCTGGTACTCCCCATAAATAAAGCTTCAATAAAATTGAGAGATAAGCAGAAATAGTGGATGGATGGATGAACGAACAGGTGGAGAGAAAGAGAGATGACAATCAATCTCATCTACTCCCGAAACACTTACAGATTTATTCATTAAAGTAAGATGTGACTGAGTTCCCCTATTTCGACTGAGTACATCCGCCAGGTCAGCTTCCTAGCTGCTACTGGGGACTCAGTCGACGAAGCCTGACTGGGTTCTTTGAGGACGTCTTCCTCAGGACCAATTTGCAGTGATTATAGCTCAGGACACCTTCTCTCCTGTAAAGCATTGGTAATTGCTGTCTCTTGAGTGTTGCTCCACTGAGCTAAACAACCAGGAAGTAACAGGACTAATTATCTGATTGACAGCCAGGAGGGTGTAACAAAGTTCATGTATAAAAGTACCAATTTCTATTGAAATCTTGATTTTGTTTTGTAAAATGCAAAAGACGAGGACAAGATAAAGTGCTTTAGGAGTGTGGAAGGGAGAGAGGGAGTGGGAAGAGAGACTAGGAGAGAGTGGGATGGGAATTATAATCCTTTTTTTTTTTTAAAGAAAAAAGAGGACTACTGAGTTTCTTGGGAAGCAAAAGAGCTCAGTTCAAGGAGGGAGGGATTGGCTGCAAGAGAAAAGCCCAACAGGTTCGTTGCCAGTGTGCTGTGTGCGCTGATGACAGATATATTTTATGGACAGCATTGACACTATTGACATTTGGCAGCCAAGAACAGGGTACATCCTACTAACATATTTTGATATATGGGGCTTTCTAGCATTTAAAAAAAAAAAAAAAATCCCTGAACACAAATATAATAAAAAGTCTTTTAAAAAGAAGTACATTCAATTATCCTGTAGTAGATGCAAACACACAATCCATCAATTAAAACACAAACTAACAAACTTTAAAAGTAAAGCACTTAAAAAGCAAACAACTATAGCCATTTAAAGAGACAGGACTAACACATTTGTAAACTGGACTGCACTAATGACTATGTGGGTATGTGATATGATTTGTTTACATTCCCTACTGAGCACACGGAAGGTTATTCTGCTGAGATAACTCCAGTTGGGTGTGAAACACATCCAGTATTTTAGGTTTTCACTGTGACTCCATGGGGTCCCACTCCTTTCTGCCTAATACAATGTTAGTTGCTCAAATTGCTTAAATAAATGATTATTTTTGCACATCCTGCTTGATCTTGATAGTACGTTGTCTGTGTCCAGAATCGGCTTGAGAGTGCGGCCCCAACAATAACAGCCCAATCACTCTAAAAATATTGGCCTCAATGTGCTGGGGAAGTAATGTCTTGACTTCTAAACTTTCACCAGACTTTCAACTTAGAATTATTGATTCAATGTGCCCATTTCTAACATAAGACACCATACAAGCTCGCATTTCAGATATGGCAGCTCACATCTCATTGGTCTCTCTCTGGTGCACATTACCCAGCTCCAATCTTTAGTGAATGTTGCCCACTACTCCGCAAACAATTTACCTAGCTAAAAATCCTAATATTGGTCACCCATGGCTATACCTTTCATCAATGAGAGGTATGAAAGTGGTAAGGATGTTGGGTTTATAGGTGTCATGCCTATGACGCCATTGGTGAAATTCATATTTAATGCCAAACTCCAACCATAGCTGACTTGGATAATATTTTCCAGTTCGGCTATTTGGATCTTAAATTTGAAAATGACTTTGACCTCACTTTGAATTCATTACAATTCACTATAGTGAATAAACCTCAGTTTGTGTTTTACATGTTTAGTACATGCTGGCAAATTAACTGGCAAACTCTCTTTCCTTTCGGGCATGTTGCTCCTTACCTCTTGTGTTTTAATACCCCACTTTTTCTACATTGTCTAAGCAGGGCCCCCTTGTCCTCTTCTTTCTGTTTGCTTGATGTTGCTTGACATTTTGTTGTTAATTTATTTGTTTTTTCTTTTATCACCATTGTAAAATTAATTGGATAATAATAAAAACAGTAGTCTAGTTTGACTCTATATTGCAGCCAATTCCAATACAGCATCAAGGCTTTGCTTTGATACATTGTGATTTCATAGAATTGATGTACAGAGCTTAGTGCATGCCACTGCTTATTTGCATAGAACTCTCCAAGTGTGAATGTATAACGAGCCAAGTTAGGTACAGTTTGTTTGCATAGTCAAATAGATCATCCGAGTTATTTGTTAAATGGTGTGATTGTAGCAAAAGTGCATTTACTTCAGTACACAAGTCAGTGGACAGGTAAGCGCAGATGAAAATATTGCATAACTTGAAGTAGATTGCTGACAATAGATTAAAATGTTGCATAATTTGCAGTGGTGCCAATAAATAACCACTTATCCTGGACACACGTGTGCTGCCATACTTTTTGTTTGTCTCTTAATCTGGCAATTTCCCTATTCCTGTGTCTGTGTCTTTGATGGTGAGTGCAATATTAGAAACTATAGCATTGTGATTGTGATATAAAATATGAACGCTGTGCTTAATACATACAGAGTGGTTAAAACTCAAAGTTTCTCCCCAAAATAAGGCAGCAATTGGGAGATGTTACTCAGAACAAATGTTGCTTTATATTGGTGCAGTAACCTCAGTTTACAAACAACATATAAGAGAGTCCACCTGATAAACACACAAACAATATACGGTTTCCAGTCTTTGAATAATACTATTTAAAACATAAATTTTAACTAAAACAATATTTGGATCCACCACCATTGCATCGAAGTAATCCAATATCGATCATTCCTAAGCACATTTTTTACAAGGGAGATAAATTTGATGGATGTACTGCCTACTGCTTAAACTTCCCTAAACAGCACTTCTAAAACTGATATGCTTTTCTGGCTACTTATTATGGGATGCCTGTGTGCATAGTGGGCTTGGGGTCTTAAATGAAACCCTGATGAGTTATCGTCATATCACCAAACCTTTCATTGTAGTGTTTCTAAAAAAATGTGAGAATGTGTGTTCATGTAGCTGGGATATATATATATAGAGAGAGAGAGACAGACAGGCAGATAGATAGATAGATAAATAGATGGATAGAGAGAGACAGACAAACAGATAGATAGAGAGAGAGAGAGAGACGGATGGATGGATGGATAGATAGATAGCCTAAAACATAGATATATACAAAAGGTATTGTATTTTGGCACCCCTTTGAAATGTAAACAAAAAAGTTGCTTCACCCTTGTGTCTTTTTCCCAATTCCCCTCACCCCTTCATATGTCCATTGTAACTCGGTTACCCTCTTTTGTGTATCTCTTTATCCTCTGATCAGTGGTGTATTTAGTATTTGTGCTGCCCTAGCCAGGACGGTGCTCGGGCACCCTCCCAACTTAATTTTGCCCACCCCTTCCTGTCAAGGCCGCACTTTGACTGACAGACGCTCACTCACCGACAGACACACACACTCATTGACAGATACACACTCTCATATACACTGACAAACAATGACATACACACACTCACTGATTTGACACACTGATAGACAGACATACACTATTACTTGGACACACACTGACAGACTCATACTCACTGACAGACTCACTGACAGACGCACCCTCTCACTGACAGACGCACCCTCTCACTGACAGACGCACCCTCTCACTGACAGACACATGCACTCACTGACTGATACATACACACTGACTGACCTACACACACATTCACTGACACACACACTCACACTCACTGACAGACACACACACTCACATTCATTGACACACACTCACATTCACTGACACACACACACACCCTTCTCCCATTATATTTCCCCCACTCACAATTATTATTATTATTTTTTTTAATATGAAATCCACCCAGCCTCCCTACTTTTGGGATAGGATGGGTGTATTTTTCACCTGGGGTCCAGTGGGGCTACTGGCCAGGGAGGCGGCCAGACGTGCAGGCGGGCGGACGGTGAGGGAGCACTTTCCCCTGAGCTCTCTCTCGCCGCAGAGTGATGCTGGGAGCCGGAATATGACGTCATAATCCAGCTCCCACCATTACTGCGGGTCGTAACAAGGTATTGCCGCCCCCTGGAAATTGCCGCCCAAGGCACATGCCTTGCTTGCCTCGCGGTAGACACATCCCTGCCTGTGTTCACCTCTTCATTCCCTTTTGTGTCTCTTCTCCCCAATTATTTCTTTGTGGTTTTCTCTTGCCTCCGGACCCCCTTGTGTGTTTCAATTTATCCACTATATCCCCATTTGTGTCTGTCCTTGTCCTATCAGAAAGTGCTCTTACTAAGAAATACTTTTGCCTCCTTGAAAGTTCAGCCTGCTCAGAGCCTTGTAGTCAGACTGAAGACAATACCTTATTTTTTTAATCTATTTTCTTCATTGTGGCTTTCATTTTTTGGCATTTTTTTATGAGTAGCTGTTTTATTTTATTTAGTAGAAACAGGCATTCATTTTCGTAAGAATCATAGTTCGGACAAAAAAACAAACAGCTTGTTTGGCCATTCATCCAAATTCTGAATCTCCTACTGGCACAATCGAAGAATGGACTAATAAATGAATTGACGTTGACCGATCTTCTTCTATGCGCGATTAATGTATTAATTAACCATATTTAAGGGTACTAAAATGTGGAAGTTGTTATGTCTCCCTAAATTGGTATCTTTAAATATGTCAATCTCACACAAGGGTACCAATTTTATTTAGGGAATTACCTTTTAAACAGTTGGAAGATCAAAATTAAGAAAAGGGCTTTACTTAATTTTGATCTTTTTGGCTGCTTGGTAAATAGTTGCCTAACTAGATATCCTTATGTGGATTGCCATATTTAAGCATTTCAAAATAGAGAGCTATTTACCAAACAGCTTATTTATTTGGTATCCTTAAAGGGGTACTATTGGTATGAAAATAGCTTCAGCTTAATGAGGCAGTTTTGGTGTACAGATCACGCCCCTGCAGTCTCACTGCTCAATTATTTGCCATTTAGGAGTTAAATCACTTTAGTTTCTGGTTATGCAGCCCTAGCCACACCTCCACTGGACATAGCCTGCACAATAAAAATAGTTACATTTTCAATCAGGTGTTAACTTGCTTTGTATATATATTTTTCATCTTCTGTTCTGTAAATTGAACTTTAATCAGACACAGAAGGCTCCTGCAAGATTTAGGAGACTATTAACCGAGCAGGGGATAAGAAATAAAAAATTAAACAAAATATGCAATAAAAGAAGTTTAGACATTAGATCTCACTTTACAGGAAGTGTTTATGGAAGGCAGTGTAGGTCACATGCAGGGAGGTGTGACTAGGGCTGTATAAACAAAGTGATTTAACTATTCAATGGCAGCAAACTGAGCAGTGAGACTGCAAGGGCATGATCTATACACCAAAAACGGCTTCATTAAGATAAAGTTGTTTTGGTGACTATAGTGTCCCTTTAAATACTAAACAACTGAAGATCAGAATCCCAGAGGAGGTTGAATATCATGAAATGCAGATCATAAAGAAGCTAATTAAAAGCTTTACTATGAGAAGTATTTGATTGGATGCATGCAACAGGTCCACGATGCACCTCAAGAAGTATTGGGTTGGACTATTGACAAGGAAGTCACTCTGCCTAGAGAACACCGAGAAAGATGGATCGGGTGCAGGGCCGAGGGAGTCTCTGCACTAGAAAAAGGTAAGTAAAAAATAGGTTTTTACACAGAAAAATTAGAAAAAGAGGTTCTTTAATCTAATAAGGGACAAGGACACTGTAGCATGGTTTTTATTACTAACGTTGTAGTGTTCCTTTACACTGACTTCAGAGTATAACTGGTTTCCAAGCAGAGCAACTGTTTTCACCTTTTAGTGAATCAATGTGTCTGTCTCCTGAAACATAGGTTAGAAACATAGAAACATAGAATGTGACGGCAGATAAGAACCATTCGGCCCATCTAGTCTGCCCAATTTTCTAAATACTTTCATTAGTCCCTGGCCTTATCTTATAGTTAGGATAGCCTTATGCCTATCCCACGCATGCTTAAACTCCTTTACTGTGTTAACCTCTACCACTTCAGCTGGAAGGCTATTCCATGCATCCACTGCCCTCTCAGTAAAGTAATACTTCCTGATATTATTTTTAAACCTTTGTCCCTCTAATTTAAGACTATGTCCTCTTGTTGTGGTAGTTTTTCTTCTTTTAAATATAGTCTCCTCCTTTACTGTGTTGATTCCCTTTATATATTTAAATGTTTCATTTAATATATCACCCCTATCTCGTCTCTCCTCCAAGCTATGCATTTTAAGATCCTTTAACCTTTCCTGGTAAGTTTTATCCCGCAATCCATGAACCAGTTTAGTAGCCCTTCTCTGAACCCTCTCTAAGGTATCAATATCCTTCTGAAGATACGGTCTCCAGTACCGTGTACAATACTCCAAGTGAGGTCTCACCAGTGTTCTGTACAATGGCATGAGCACTTCCCTCTTTCTACAGTTGGTCGGATAACTCTGGAAGTTTAGATATGTGAAGATTTTATTTCTTCTATAGATGGCAGATAGTTGAGGCTTAGCAACCACTGCATCCTCGGTAGATTTTATGGCCATATAATTGTCAGGGTGCTATGTGGTGCTGTTGTTAGAATTGATGATTTAGGTTTTCCAGGTTCCCAGGAAGGGCTCACGTAATTGACAAGGTGAGCCTCTGCTAGTGTAATCCAGTTGACATTTTTTTCTTACACCTTCTAATGCAGGGGTCCTAAAGTCAGTTTACTTGGAGGTTTCAGATCTATGTAAATGCACAAATCTGTACAAACACATCTACACACTACCATAAACACACACACACACACACATGTGAGTACAGCTTTAAACTGTATGGAGGACCCAATGAGACCACCGGATTCTCTGTAGGCACATCCAATTCCCTGCATCCGTCATTGGTGACGGCTGTCAGGATTGTACTTGAACTCTGCACTGAGTCTAGGAAACTCAGGTGGAGGAGAAATACAGAGATTTAGTATTTAATACTTTGTCTCTGTATATCTCTTGGCTGAATTAGAATTTCAGTAAAATACTAAATAGTCAAAATTAGTATTTCATAAAGATTCTATATTTATGAAATACTAATTTTCAGGGGGAGAGGGTGGTGACAGCGCCGCTCTAAGGGTTGGATATGGACCGTAGATAACCCTTGTTCTAAATAACTAAAGTAGCAAATAAACAAACATACAAATAAAACATAAGCAGCCTGTTTATAGAAAATAAAAAAAATGAAGCAAATATCTGAAAAAGTAGAATTAACGTCATGAAAAGTATCATGATAAAATCCAGTTGAATGTCCTGTTGACGAATTCCTCTTTAAAACTCAACAGAACGTACTGTGTCTCTCAATGAACAGTCAGTGATTGGCTGACACCTTCCTTATACTGCAGAGGCCGGGAGGAAGAAGGTAGTCAGGGGGCATAGATGTTGGGTGCTGGGATACCAACTTTGAGGTTGAACAGATGGAAATGGTTTAACCTCGAAGGTAAGACGGTGCCCAGGCAATGATGCCCCCATAACTTCAATGATCTGAAGTTGTTACGGGGGTGGGAGTGTTATAATGATATGTGTTATCTCCACATAGAGCACATCTAGCATGTCATGACTAAACAGTTTCCAGTTAAGTGAAGAGGCCGCACAGCTCTCTAATATGCGCAGTTTGATTAAAAGGAATGTTGTTTCATACAGAGTTGGACTGGTTGGCATAAGGGAGTCCGTTGCTTTGCTGAGAGGGACGCGCTTCATTTCTAAGACGTGGAAATTTCCTATTCACATCTTGTCTGAGCTGGAACTGTTTATCCTGTGTTTGCAGGTCTGGGAGCTGCCGGGTATGAATGCAAACTGTTCATAAGGACTGCACATTGGGGGAGGAAACAACTTGTTACCTGATAGACAAAACAGTCAATAGTGAGTCACAAACTGGACATTTTTGTTTTAAGCTGTAAAAATGATGGCTTTATTACCCCAGTTAGTTTAAAAGGCTGCCAAAACACAGAAACATCATTTTTATCTCACGATAGAGGTCAGTACATATACAATTAGAACACTTTGTTGTTTACAAACGGCTTGTGTTTTATACCTTAAACAGCAGATGAAGAGACAGTTTTGGGGCACTGTTCAGGAATATTTTTGTTTTCACCACTGAGACTTTTTTTTCCCTCTTTCCCTTCACTAGTTTTATACCATACGTCCCCAATGCTCTATCTGTCTACCCTGTCCCTTATTGACCCATTTAAATCTTCCCCTTACTTGCCCCTTCTCCCAATAAGCCATCTTCCCTCTCTCTGTTATGCTTGTCTGCTACCCTAACGTCCCCCAGGCATTATCTATCATCTCTTCTGCTGAGTTATTCTCTATAATCTTTCCCATGTGTCCTCTCCCTCTGCTACCACTGGATCTTCTTCCTCTGCTTCACTTGTCCTTTGCCCTTAATTCCCTTGCGCACTGTCTATCCTCTCCCTTTTCTCCAAATTTTCCCTCTCATTGATCCTTTATACTATATCTTCCCTCACGTACACTTATGTTTTTGCCCTTGTTTTCACTGCTACCTAGACTCTATTCACCATCCAAAGCCGGATGAAGATTGTCCAGGGCCGTAAGCAGGATGCCAGATTGTGGATCCTTCCTGGAGCCCTGGACTCTGTTCTGTGAGTGTTGTATGTGTGTGGTGGCTGAGCATTGCATGTTTGTGTGTGTAGGTGTGTGTTGTGCACATGTGAAGTAGTAAGAGAGCTGTGTGTGGGGAAGGGTAGTTGAGTGTGCCACTGTGTCCTGGTTGAGTGATGTGCTGCCCTGTGTTTGGTGGTATGTTGTGTCTGTGTTGAGGGGAGTCTGAGTGTGTCTGAGTGCTATTTGTGTATTGTCTGAGTGTGTTGGGAAATGAGGATGAGTGTGTGTGGGAAAACCAGGGAATATGAGAACTTTGACAACAGCTTAGAGAAACTCAGTAGCATGCACATCAGCAAATCCTCGCTCAGGTTTCAAAATAGTTTTTGCTTTCTTGTGCCATTATAGAGAGAACCAGCTCCAAGACACCCATAAGGGTGGTCCAGAACCGAAATGCCAGCAAGTTCTCTGTGCATGAGAGATACAGCAACCACGGAGGATCGTTTCGGCCTTCTTTGGGCCTCGTCAGCAACGTGTAGTTGATACCCTTCCAGGCACAGTGAGCACAGAGTCCATGTCTAAATTACTCTTTTAACTTGGGGAGAGTCAAGTTAATGAGTGTGTGTAGGGAAGTTTTTCATGTGGCCCTCTTCCTTGGGGTCTGGTGGAGGGTGAGCTGAGAAGCTTTGGTCCAGAAAGGTAATATTCTGGTCTGCACCAATATCCGGTGCAGACTACTTTAAGAACTCCATCGTGGTCTGGCACTTAGTCAATGACTCAGAGCGCTGCTTGCAGTACTCTGAGTCATTGAGGTTTGCTGGGAACTCTTAAAGTGATCTACACCCAATATAGGTGCAGCCCACAACTCTATCTCGCGTTGATGGGCACAATGCCATGCAGGAAGATATTATGAGACTGTCTATGCCACCTTATGGGTAATCCGGCTCTATTAGCATCTCACCCACCTTTTTTCTCTCCATCTCCACCATTTCGAGACTCTGTTTAATTCTTATCAAACTACATGTTTTTTCAACAACTCATAAAAGTAAAAGAGATATTCAAATGGCCCTCTACAAGCATCCAAATAAAATACCATGAGGGTTTTCCATAAATGGAGATTATTTTTTTTTTAAAATGAATATATACATGGCACTGTTCGGACCACCTTGGTGTATGAAAAGACAAAAGAAACATAATTACACAAAGTCCCAACACCTGTAAAGATAAAAAAGGGGGGAGAACCGAATGGATTAATACTCGTCTAGCAAATGACAACTGAGCATTATCACAGCTATCCAAATCTTGAGCTCCCATCACACCTAGCCATCAAAAGATCAACAGGATTCATTATCAGAGAACATCTTAACGAAAATGATAGAATTACTTATTTATTTATACACACACATATTATTGTTTGGGAGCTACCATGCAAAATAGCTGTATTTATATATATTTTAAGAGAGCACTATTGTTTTGTGTATTCTCTTATTTAAGAATTACTATCTTATTATTCTAATTATGCTCTGAAATATCAAGTCAATATTTTTTTAGCTGACTGAAATAAATGGTGTAATTTGCACACGTTGGGTTCTTTTTGTTAATCTCTTGTACAGATGTTCAAATTCAGTAGCTTTCTAAGATGTCTGTCTGATGACATTTATCCCTTTTTGAGGCACAACAGGAGAGTGATCTGTGCTGAATTTACACCATCTTTTGGATCAACATCAGCTACAGAGACTTGTGAAAGGTAGAAGATAATGCTGATTTTTAAGCCTATGTTGCTATGTTACTCTATAGATTAATCAGCAAATCTAGTAATTAAAGTGACAGTATACGCACTAAAACAACTTTAGCTTAATGAAGCAGTTTTGGTGTATAGATCATGCCCTTGAGGTTTCACTGTTCAAGTCTCTGCCATTTAGGAGATAAATCACTTTGTTTATACAACCCTAGTCACACCTCCATGTGTGTGACTTACACAGCCTTACTAAACACTTCCTGTAAAGAGTCATCTAATGTTTACACTACCTATATTTAAAATTCTGTTAAATTTAGAATTTCTTATCTCCTGCTCTGTTAATTGCTTGCTAGAACCTGCAGGGGAATCATGTATGTAATTAAAGGTCAATTTACAGATCAGGAGATAAACACTTCTAAAGTAGTGTAACATCTGAAAATGAAATAATTTGTTTTCATACAGGCTGCATCACTCACAGCCAGGGAAAGTGTGGCTAGGGCTGCATAAAAAGAAACAAAGTGATTTAACTCCTAAATGGCAGATAATAGAACAGTGAAACTGCTGGAGCATGATCTATACACTAAAACTAAAATTTGTTTTGGTAACGTTAGTGTTCCTTTAAAAACCCTCCCTCCTGGTCAGTCTCAACAGTTTTATTGCTTGAATTCCCCCATGAGATGATATCATCCCGTGTTTTGATATGTTGGCAGAGTGAGTGCCTGGACTACCTCAGGCAGCAGCAGGACAAAGTCTGCATTGTGGCGAGTCCTGGATCCAAAGCATTTGCCAGCCGGGAACTGTACACATGGAACAGCAGCCTGTTCCCAGACACAGTTAAAGCTTCAGAATGCGGAGTGGGCTGCTCATAATGTAAGGTGACAGTATCCACCGATGTCACCTGACAGCTGGGGATTGCATGGAGAGTGCCATTTAAAACAGACTCGTATTTAATCTCAGAACACTCCCTTGTGTTCGAACACTCCGATTTAAAGCGAGGATCATAAACTGAGGCTTGCTGTACTTAATGGTTGGATCAGAGTCTTTCATTTAAGCTCTTGAAAGCACTAGCTCAGACACTGATGCCGGTAAGCCGAGAGCCTCCCAGGATCACTAACATTTGCCCTGAACCCAGTTCTGCTTATAGCGACCTGGACTCTATTACCTCCCGCTAGAGAACTTTCAGAACTACGGGAAACTGCTCGCCCTTAGTCATCATGTGCATTTTTTCTCATTTGCTTTTTTAACAGTATAAAATATTGGATGTTTCATGATAGATTGTGTGCTTGTGGGACGAGCATTCTCGACCTTATGTTTTTGTTATTCTAGTCTGTCAAGCTAAGTGTGTGTACATACGACTGTCCAGGTCACCGATACATGGTGTAACACACGGGCAGTGTGATTACTTAAATTCGGAATAATAACAAACCGAAATCTGAATTGCAAAAATTCAGGCTAAAATAGCTGAGCTGTGACTAAGAGTTGGAGAAGTTCTCTAAATCGGCTATGTTTGCCTACATTTTTCAATTCAGATTTTAATTTGCTATCATTTAGAGTGAATACCCCAACATTGAGCTAATTATATAGCTAGATTGTATATATGACATTAATAGATACAATTCGATGGGTTCAGTTTGTTTGTACAGCTAGATGCCTGGCTGTCCAAAGAAACTTGATCTGAGAATGGTATGAAACTATGCACCAATAAATACGTTTCTGGGATTGAGCCTAAAACATAGTTTAAATTACTCAATGTAGATTTAATAAAACCTTCATAATACCTTTGAACATTTCAAATGAGCAAAGAGGGGCCTTTATTTTTAAGGGTGTGAGTGGGGGTGTGATCAGGGGGAGGCTGTTCTGACTTACTAATACCAGTTTACACAACTAAAATGTAATTTAGAATAAGAACAATGTATCTTATTTACATAGACTGATTTCTAAACGCGTTTATTGTAGTTTAAAGACACATTACTGGGAGTATTATTGCTGTGGAGCTCTGTTTTACACTCAGACAAACCAACAATACGGAGCTCCAGAAAAGAGGATCATTAGGATAGAATGGGGGGACTGAGGGGTTTGAGCTTCAAATAGGGACTGTCCCTTCTATACAGGGACACTTGGCAGTTATGCATTATCTAAATGATTGAGTATATTGGACTCCTCAGAGTTTGGACTGCAGGCCCCTGGTTCAAGTTGGGAAGTTGAGTTTAGCTCTTGTCCAGCTCTGACACAAATTGTTTAGTTAAATGCTGTCAATTAGTGATGTCCCGAACGGTTCGCCGCAGACGCCGAACGGTTCGCCACAGATTGCGAACATATGCGGTAAACTTTGACCCTGTACCTCACAGTCAGCAGACACATTCCAGCCAATCAGCAGCAGACCCTCCCTCCCAGACCCTCCCACCTAATGGACAGCTCACTAAGAATGCAGCTTCACAATGAATGTAAAATGGATGCTGTCCAGGAGGTGGGAGGGTCTGGGAGGGAGGGTCTGCTGCTGATTGGCTGGAATGTGTCTGCTTACTGTGAGGTACAGGGTCAAAGTTTACCGCATATGTTCGCCGTCTGCGGCGAACCGTTCAGCGAACCGTTCAGGACATCACTACTGTCAATGCTTTAAACGAACACTCCAAACACCATAACCACTGCAGAATCTATTTATGCTAATCCTGATAAAAAGTCAAAAGGCAGCTCTTACTATTTACCTTAAAATGGAAAACAGAAAATCATGGAGAAAAGATTCAGGATTAATAAATCTGGATACCTGAAGGTCGCGTTGTTTCAATTGACTATGTTAACTATGTTACTAGAGATGGGCAAACCAAGAGCAGATTTGTCTAGTTTGGCTGTGAGTATTGTGAGTTGAATTTTATCTTTACAACCAGTTTTTTTCAGGATGCAATAAAATAACCTTAATTTCTTTTGGTAGAGGTGACATGGTGGGAAAAGATGTCCGTATGAACCAAGGATTGCCCTCCGGATTGTAACAAGGGCTTTCTGTTTGGAAGAAGACCCCCTCAAGCTCTCAGCTTATAGTAAGTCATTTTACTTTGAATTCCTAGAAATGTCTGAGATAATATTTTGTATGAATATACAGTATGCTGTAGTGGTTATGGTGCCAGACGTAACCTGGCACACTCCCAGGGTAACTAGTCAAAAGTTGGAAATGGTTTGACAACTTACCTGGGGTATCTCTGAACGCCATTGTCTGCCTCCTCAGCTGGCAGTAGTTGCAGCTCACTACTCTCAGCCAGTGTGTCGGCTCTGCCTGGTTGGCCTTGCTCAGTGGAGGTGCTTCTGGTTTCCGGTGGTGTAAATATCCATAAATTCCATGTGAGAATGTTAAATGTTATATGTTGGGTGAAGTCAAATCATATTAAATGCCCGTTGAGAGCTAATGGTCCGGCTAGAGTGAGCTGGTGACCATGTAGATGACACTATTAGTCCATATTAGAAGTTACCCTTTTCTGTTCCTAGGCTGTAGAATTGGTCACCACACTCCAGCGCTTAAAGTGACACTATAGTTACCAAACAACTTTAGCTTAATGAAGCAGTTTTAGTGTATAGATCATGCGCCTGCAATCTCACTGCTCAATTTTTTGCCATTTAGGAGTTAAATCACTTTTGTTTTTGTTTATGCAGTCCTAGCCACACCTGGCTGTGACTTGTATAGCCTCCATGAAAATAAAATGGTTTCACTTTCAATCAGATGTAAAAATGTGTATCCCCTAATCTGTAAATTGAACTTTAATTACATACAGGAGGCTCCTGCAGTGTCTATCAAGCTATTAATAGTGCAAGAGATAAGACATTCTAAATTAAACAGAATTTGCAATAAAGGAAGTGTAAACATTAGATGACTGTTTACAGGAAGTGTTTACGAAGGCTGTGCAAGTCACATGCAGGGAGGTGTGACTAGGGCTGCATAAAAAAAGTGATTTAACTCCTAAATGGCAGAGAACTGAGCGGTTAGATTGCAGGGACATGATCTTTACACCAAAACTGCTTCATTAAGCTATAGTTGTTTTGGTAACTATAGTGTCCCTTTAAGAGTCACAAACCACCTGTTTCTCAGGGTCATAGTTTTGCACATTGTTTAGTAATGTGCAATGTTCATTATTTGACTCAGATTTGATTGGAGAATCATTGCACATCATGCAGGGTTCCATCCCTTTAAGATTAGGTTTGGCACTCCTGCAGTAGACACTGTCTTGGCGAATACAGATGTAACTGTTGGTGGGAGAGCATGCAGTTATTTTTGCCAGATGTTATGTTTTGTTTTTAATATGGCATTTTTTTCACGCCTCTCTCAGTCATAAAGTGGCTGGGCTCAGACAGCCATGAGACTCTTTCTGATCGCTATTACGGTGAGGGAAAAAAGTATTTGATCCCCTGCTGATTTTGAACGTTTGCCCACTGACAAAGAAATGATCAGTCTTTAATTTTAATGGTAGGTGTATTTTAACAGTGAGAGACAGAATAACAAAAAAAATCCAGAAAAACGCATGTCAAAAAAGTTATAAATTAATTTGCATGTCAATAGGTGAAATAAATATTTGATCACCTATCAATCAGCAAGATTTTTGGCTCCCAGGTGTCTTTTATACAGGTAACGAGCTGAGATTAGGAGCACTCTCCACCGTGGCCAAGACCAAAGAGCTGTCCAAGGATGTCAGGGACAAGATTGTAGGCCTACACAAGGCTGGAATGGGCTACAAGACCATCGCCAAGCAGCTTGGCTAGAAGGTGACAACAGTTGGTGCGATTATTCGCAAATGGAAGAAACACAAAATAACTGTCAGTCTCCCTCAGTCTGGTGCTCCATGCAAGATCTTACCTTGTGGAGTTTCAGTGATCGTGAGAACGGTGAGTAATCAGCGCAGAACTACATGGGATGGGAGGATCTTGTTAATGATCTCAAGGCAGCTGGGACCATAATCAACAAGAAAACAAATGGTAACACACTACGCAATGAAGGACTGAAATCCTGCAGCACACGCAAGGTTCCATGCTCAAGAAAGCACATATACAGGCTCGTCTGAAGTTTGCCACTGAACATCTGAATGATTCAGAGGAGAACGGGGTGAAAGTGTTGTGGTCAGATCAGACCAACATTGAGCTCTTTGGCATCAACTCAACTCACCGTGTTTGGAGGAGGAAGAATGCTGCCTATGACCCCAAGGGCACAATTCGCATCGTCAAACATGGAGGTGGAAACATTATGCTTTGGGGGTGTTTTTCTGCTAAGGGGACAGGACAACTGCACTCCATCAAAGGGACGATGGACTGGGCCATGTCTTGGGTGAGAACCTCCTTCCCTCAGCCAGGGCATTGAAAATGGGGTGTGGATGAGTATTCCAGCATGACAATGACCCAAAACACACAGCCACAGCAACAAAGGATTGGCACAAGAAGAAGCACATTAAGGTCCTGGAGTGGCCTAGCCAGTCTGCAGACCTTAATCCCATAGAAAATCTGTGGATTGAGCTGAAGGTTCGAATTGCCAAATGTCAGCCTTGAAACCTTAATGATTTGAAGAGGATCTGCAAAGAGGAGTGGAACAAAATCCCTCCTGAGATGTGTGCAAACCTGGTGGTCAACTACAAGAAACGTCTGACCTCTGTGATTGCCAGCAAGGGTTTTGCCACCAAGTACTAGTCGAAGGGGTCAAATACCTGGAAGCTAGAAATCTTGCTGATTGATAAGGGATCAAATACTTATTTCACTCATTGACATGCAAATCAATTTATAACTTTGTTGACATGCGTTTTTCTGGATTTTTTGTTTTTTGTTATTCTGTCTCACTGTTAAAATACACCTACCATTAAAATTATAGACTGATAATTTCCTTGTCAGTGGACAAAGTTCAAAATCAGCAGGGAATCAAATACTTTTTTTCCCTCACTGTATGTCCCAGCAAAAAAATGGAAGCAATGCTTCTCATGGAGAAACATTGGTTTTAATGATTCTCTATGAGCAGAGACGTAACAAGAAACCACCCTCCATATGTCTAATTTCCTTCCCCCCAGCCCCTCCATGTATCTTCTTCTTACCATGTGTCTTCTTTCCCCCAGTCTCCTTTCCTCCCTCAGCCTCTCCATGTGTCTCCTTCCCCCAAACCCTTCATGTGTTTCCTTTTCCTTCCAGCCCCTCAATGTGTCTCCTTACCACTCCTCCAACCCCACCATGTGTTTTCTTAACCCCAGCCCCTCCATGTGTCTTCTTTCCTCCAGAAACCCTCCATGTGTCTTCTTTCCTCCCCAACCCCTCCATGTGTCTCCTTTTCCCCCAGCCCCCTCTGTTTCTCCTTTCCTCCCCAGCCCCTCCTTGTGTCTTCTTCCCACCATGTGTCTTCTTCTCTCCCCTAGCCCCTCCATTTGTCTCTTTCCCCTCCACTACCTCCATGTGTCTCCTTCCTTGCAGCCCCTCCTTGTGTCTTCTTTCCTCCGCCAGTCGCTCCAGGTGTCTTCTTCCCCCAACCGCTGCATGTGTTTCCATTCCCCTGCAGCCCTTCCATGTGTTTCCTTCCCACTCCCCCAGCCCCTCCATGTGTCTCCTTTCATCCCCCCTCCCTCTCCATGTGTCTCCTTTCCTTCCCCTACCTCTCCATGCGTCTCCTTTCCTCCCCTCAGCCCCTCCATGTGTCTCCTTCCCCCCTTCATGTGTCTCTTCCCCAGCCCCCCTCACCTCCATGTAGCATGGCCTAGCTACTAAGGACAGTGAGAGAAACCAGGAGTAAAGAGACAGAATTACAAGAGTTGACATTGCACATTAAGTTGCAGTCATTTACACTTTACATTTTTAGTGTATATTCCGTACACATTTATATTTTATTTTCAGTTTCCTTGATGTAAGTTTCCAAATGTATAATATGCCTCCTGTTTAAGCATGTTTGTGGGTATTTTGAGAGTTTGTTGAGGTGTTTCAGTGATAAGGCACACATGTATCGGGTTAATTGTGTATTTAACAATCGTAAAAAGGTGAGACTGAATGTTTTTGGCATCAATTCCACCTTTTTAATGGGATAAAAAGTGATTCTTAAATGTATTCATTGGTGATTGTGTTGACTTTTTTTTCCTGCCAAAATTTGGTGTTTAACCCCCATCCCCCCAAAATAACTATAAACGCCCTGATTGTCAGAGAGGATAGTCTGTAATCCCAGATCTCGCTCCCTAAGTGTAGTATACCCACAGCTTCTTACCTAACACTGAGATTTTACATTTACATTGATTTTTGTAACCTCATTAACACTCTGTCATGCACCTCTCAGGTCCCAGGTGTTGACAAGTCATTTTCACTAGTTATAAATAAAACTGGTGTTTTAATACATCAATGTAATGTCTTATTATAGACCAGCTTTCAAATGTTTACTCTTTGTCTTAGTTATATAAAGGATAATACCTATTTTTACTCTTGAACATTAGACCATCACAGCCTGTGCTGAGTTCAATAAATCATTGCAATCATATGAACATGAATCTTGAATATATTGTAGCATATTAACTAAGCCTTCCGTACTAGCTACCGAAATAAATGTAGAAAACAGGCTTTAAATTGCTCCCAGTTTTAAAATGCATTATTTAGTTAAATCATTGAAATATTAAAAAATAAACAAAGATGCTCATCTTTAAAGGGACACTATAGTCACCATAACAGCTACAGCATCTATAGCCTGTACCTGCAGATTCTTTTTACTGTAAACAAAGAAAAGGCAGCGTTTACATTGCTGCCTAGTAACACCTCTAGTGGCTGTCACTCAGACAGGTGCTTCCTGGGTTAGTGCTGCACAATGTGCAGCAGCACCTACATTCAGCGTCTCCACGTTCTGTATGGAGACATTGAACGTTCCCTATAGAGATGCATTGATTCAATGCATCTCTATGAAGAGATGCTGATTGGCGCAGCCAGAATTTTGCTGCACATGCACAATGGCCTCGCAATATTTTCCTTTTATAATACATTGGCTTGGCTGAGATGGTCAAATTTGATGATCTCTGCCACAGGGGCAGAGCCAATCGCAGCGAGACCAGCGAAATGTTGGAAAAAGGTGAATAACATTACCTTTTTAAAGTACAAAGAGGGGGCCGTGGGACTTAAACAATTATTTTACCAGAAATATATGTTTGCGTTCCTGACTCTATAATGTTCCTTTAAGTTTATTGTGTTTTCTGCATATTTCCAAGATGTGCAGCTGCTGCAGTGAATTTGAACCCAGATGAGGAATTAGATGAAAGTTATTTATCCAGTTTTAATCCTTCTATTGTGTTAATGGGATTGCTGATTAATCCCCAAAAAAGACCCTTCCCAGCGAGACCCAGGCAGAGATGTAGGTACTACTGCAGTGTTGGAAACCAGGAGTATTTTGCTATGTACTGAAACACAAAGTAATGTTACTGAGGAGAAGGAAATGTTTATTATTTTCATTCCAGGGTCATATCCTATTGAATAGAGTTTGATAGCTGCAATAAAGGAAAACCATTCATTTTGAAAGTAAAACTAATGCTGGTAACCTGGACGGAACAGAGGTCTTACTGTTTCCAGGCTCAGACATGCCACAGAGATGATTGGTTGAATAACGATGTGGAGAGTTACTGTATTATATACTTTAATGCTCCCATTCAGTGTATATATCTCACAACAGGATAGAGTACTACAGCTTGATGTCTCATGTCTTTCTTTTCTCATACCTGTAGGTATACTTGGCAACAGAATCCAGGGAGAAGTCCCAATGACGGTTTCCAGCCATGCAATGTTCTTGGAAAGCTGTCTTCTTACTAGCGCTGGCCTCTATTGCTATCCAGTACACAGCCATTCGCACCTTTACCACCAAATCCTTTCAAATGTGCCCAATCCCCAATCCTGCCAACTGCAGCCCTGGCCAAGAACCTACAGATTCTCCTGACCGGCTTTGTGAGGACAGCCAGTCGTTAAACTCAAACTTTTCTAGAAAGACACATATTCTCATCTTGGCAACAACCCGAAGTGGATCATCTTTTGTGGGTCAAATTTTTAATCAACACTCTGATGTCTTCTATTTATTTGAGCCACTTTACCATGTCCAGTATACATTGCTTCCTAAAATGACACAGAATAAAAGTCCTGCTGATCGGAGAGTCATGTTGGGTGCAAGTAGGGACCTGTTGAGGAGCCTTTATGACTGTGATCTCTATTTTATGGAGAACTACATCAAGCCACAGCCAATTAACCACACTACTGATAGACTGTTCAGGCGGGGTGCAAGCAAAGCACTTTGCTCTCTTCCAGTTTGTGATGCTTTGGGATCCCCTGACATTTATCTCGAAGAAGGTGACTGTGTTAAGAAATGTGGGAGCTTAAACATGACCTTAGCAATGGAGTCTTGCAAGGACCATGGACATGTGGCTATTAAAATTGTCCGTGTGCCTGAAGTCAATGACCTTCGAGCTTTAGTGGAAGATCCAAGGCTAAATTTGAAGGTGATACAGTTGGTGAGGGACCCCAGAGGCATCTTGGCCTCCCGGAGTGAGACTTTTCGGGACACCTATAGGCTATGGAGGATATGGAGAGCAACCGGCCGAATGCCTTTCAATCTAGACGCAACCCAGCTGACCACAGTCTGTGAAGACTTTTTAAACTCCATCTCTACTGGGTTTAGTCGCCCCCCCTGGTTAAAGGGTAGGTATATGCTCCTCCGATATGAGGATCTGGCTAGAAACCCTATGAAGAAGATGGAGGAGATCTATGACTTTGTGGGTGTTCCACCAGATTCAAACGTGGAGAGATGGATTCAGAATAACACCCAAGCAGACGAATCATCAGTCAAACATAAGTATGGCACATTAAGAAACTCTGCAGCTACAGCTGAAAGCTGGCGACTAACTTTGTCTTATGACATTGTAGAATTTACGCAAAATGCCTGTCGACAAGTACTAACCCAGCTGGGCTACAAGACTGTTGGGTCTTCACAAGAACTGAGAAACCTTTCCTACAGCCTGATAGAGGACAAAGGTTTTGCACCTTTTCTGTAATGTTAAATCGGCAACCACAGTGTACAGTGAGGGTGTGAAATCAGCAAAAAATTGAGGGAAGTAAGAAAAAGAGCAAACGATATATTTTTGATAAACCCTTGTTCCTATTCCTCCAGGAAAAACAAGTTGCACTAAAAACAGTAGGTCTGGTGATAAAGCACATTTATTAATTAAGAAAGGTTAATGGCATACCTCTAATATGGAAACTTGAAGCCCTTTTGATAGATATAAACTTTGCCAGATTGAGCGCATTGCAAGCTCTACTCAAAATGTAACCATCATAAAATGAAATGGGAGTGGTGATAGTTTAATTACATTGTGAATTAAGGTGGGGACGTCAATATGGATTTTTAATTACAGAATTTCTCATCAAGTGTTGAAACCCAGACATAGTGATTCATATGCAAAAGGGGGAAGACAGAATCATTTCTAATTTAGAGACCTCCCATCTACATTGTTGCTTGTGGGATGCCGGAGGTTGTCGGTTGGTGTTAAATGTTTACAGAAACCAAAACACAAGGTAGAACATTCTTATTGTTTGGAGCATTTGCTTATGTTAAAATGTCCACGTTTTCAGTTGGATGTTGGGTGAAGGGGGAAAATTGCACAAGTTTTTCAAATCATGTTGTTTTATTTATAAATGTTTATAAAGAGGGATGCATTCGAGCGCATGAGGTGCCGCTTGTTGTGTTCTAAATCTCCAGATGCAGTACCGGCTCAGTAAAGAAAATGTGGAAGTTAAAATGTATCTTTCTTAGAGCTAATTCGTGGGCCTAAGTTGTGTGTCATTCATGAAATAAAATAGAATCATCAGTAAGAAAGTTTATTAATGGCGTTAAAGTGACAAAAGTGGATCTCAGATTGTGGTCTATTGATATCCAGTTCGTAAAACACCATCACTTCGTTAAGTGTCGAGTATTGTGGCCCTGTCTTCGGTAGCGTTGCAACACAGCCACCCTTACATACAGAAACACCAGAAAAGAAACGTAGTAACCCACTCTCTCTGGGAATGAGCAAAATCATCTGGGGCACACACAACTGTAATATAGAACTAATAAATAAAGTTGGATAAAGTTTGAATGTTATTTGGGTGCAGGAATAGATGGAACATGGTCAGTTCTGCTTTGTAGATCAGTGCAGACATAAAATAGCGACTAAATAATCAGATTAGACTTGTAGCAGGATCACGAGCACAGGGAAGGTCCAAGAGATTAATTGTCAGAATATCAGATCTCTGTCTAGAACATGCCAGGGGAATACGTAGGCTCAATCTGGGCTAGGGCTGAAGTGGGAACCACCGCATGACCAGACAACACAGATGCTGCTACCCAGGTGTATTGTGGGACTCCAAAAGTGCATGCTTTGTTTCTGTGTAGGCAGGTACACGGACACACTTGAAAAGTTCCCCTGGGCACAAAAAGCCTGCGACTATCCCCGAGTTCTTAGCTTGACAGGCATTGTGTTTTAGACTTATTCTGCATTTCGCAGGTTGCTAAATTCCTTATGAAAGACACGTAAGTCATGGACTAAAATTACTTCTGAAACGAGTCTTCGGTGATCACTTAAAGGACCACTATAGTGCCAGGAAAACATACTTGTTTTCCTGGCACTATAGTGCACTGAGGGTGCCCCCACCCTCAGGGTCCCCCTCCCGCCGGGCTCTGGGGAGAGGAAGGGGTTAAAATCTTACCTTTCTCTAGCGCCGGGCGGGGAGCTCTCCTCCTCCTCTCCTCCTCTTCAGCTGAATGCGCATGTGCGGCAGGAGCTGCGCGCGCATCAGCCAGTCTCATAGGAAAGCATTCATAATGCTTTCCTATGGACGCTTGTGTCTTCTCACTGTGATTTTCACAGTGAGAAGCACGCAAACGCCTCTAGTGGCTGTCAATGAGACAGCCACTAGAGGCTTTAGAGGCTGGATTAACCCATTTATAAACATAGCAGTGTCTCTGAAACTGCTATGTTTATAAAAAAAATGGTTAATCCTAGAGGGACCTGGCACCCAGACCACTTCATAAAGCTGAAGTGGTCTGGGTGCCTAGAGTGGTCCTTTAAGACTTGTTTGAGCAATAGTCATATCACCAGTGACGTTCTGGACATTCCTGGTGTTCTATGTTACAAGTTTGCTGCGGATAAAATGTGTGTGCCATTGAAAAGGAGGGAAAATCATGACGTTTTCATTTAAAATCCACCAGTAGATGATACAGGTAGGAAAATGGTTCATGGAAGCTATAAACCTGACTAAAATTGGCATTTGGAAGTACGAGACTTGAGAACCACTATCTATTTAGAACAATTTGCAGCTTAATTAAAGCATGTAACAATTACTTGCTGTTTACCGTGTAAATTGCCGTTTCCAAACTTTAATTATTAGTGTTGCCTGTGAATCAAAGAATTGCTAGGAACGATGGAAAAAGATTGACCAATTTATCACACATTTTATCACACATATTACAGAATACGCAAAGCATGTTTCAAGGTTGAACGAACAGCTTTACTTGCCTGTCTATATTTACATCACCTTGCATGTAGACTTTACACAATCGTCTTGCAAAAACACTCAAGGAGGAAATGCACATAAAAGGAAAAATAATTTTAATGAAGAACATATATGAATATTTAATTCCTTGCCTTTGACAGAAGGATCCAGAGCGCAGGGGTGCAACTATGGTTCTCCAGTTGTTCTTGGGGCTCCCTCTCTTTCTGAATACTCAGTCAACACTTAGCTGGGGAGAGAATTTTAGGAACTGTAGACCATAAACAACTGGGAGACCATCTCCGGGCACCTGTCATTTAGATCTTTTGATTTACATTATAAAAAAAAAGTTAAAATAAGGCTGTCACAAATGTCACAAAAGTTAAAATAAGGTCCACAATTTGAACTGGGAATTCTAAGGGGTTGACCATCTCTACCAAGTGAGATGGTCTCTATATGTTGGCTGGTTAGAGCACTGTCTTAGAACTGGGAAAGCCAGGTCCAATGACTGATCAAACCACCTTACCAGTAAGACACCTAACGATATATGTCTGCCTACCTCAAATCCAGGCTGTAATGTGTCAGAATCAGCATGTGTCAAATTTAAAACTTGTTTTCCTTAAGAAACCAAAGAAAATGAGTGTGTGTTAAAAAACATCACTTTGTTAAATAGAGAGATAACTAATTGACTTCAAAAAAGGTATTATAATGAATCAGCACTACTTGCTAAAAATTTACCACTGTCAAAACTTATCAGCCAATTATCTGTAATAATTTCACAGGTAAAAAAAAAAAAATTCTCAATTTGAAGTACTGTAGTTTGTCTGACAACTTTGATCACATAATTATTTTATTCATTTTTAATGAGGCAGCCAGTGAATGGCGGTAGAGTGATAGAGAGACAAAGAGAGATAGTAAGTTACCCTCTTCAATTCTGTATGTCTGAACATTATGACAATTTTAGCAATAATTACCGAAACCTCTGCCCAGTATAATTTCACCAGATGTAACATATACACATTTTGCATGTCTCTTTTCTAACAAGTCTCAGTAAAATGTTGGCTTTTGATGAACCACGATCCTTTAAAATTTGAAACGGATTGTGGCCTTAACATGATGCATGTAATGAAATAGATCTTCCATTCCGATGTACTTAATGATCTTCTTTCTTGGTAAGCCATTGCTTTACTGCTAAGCATCTATGACAGAACGAGTTTCCATAGAACCTAGGTATCATCTTATAACATGAGAAGGAAAAAAGGTATGTCGGGTGCTCACTCCAAAAATAAACAGTAGATAGGCAGCAGTAACAAAAAACAAGGATTCCCAGCCTTGATAAGAAACAATATAAAAAGGGAGGAGAGAAACCGCGCCTTATATAAATTAAATATACATACACTTGATGTCTCTTAGCAACTACTAAGAGACATCAAGTGTATGTATATTTAATTTATATAAGGCGCGGTTTCTCTCCTCCCTTTTTATATCATCTTATAACATATTTACTAACATTATCCTAACCTTACATTGGGACCCATCAGTTGGCCTCCATTTGAGAATATTCGTACCAGTGCACATGTCTCAATGAAAATGACTGTGACAGTGAAGTACCCAAAGATGCTAAAATGAGAATATTCTGGCCAAATTATACAGCATGATTAGATTTAAAGAACAATGTTCTCATTCAAAGATTCCACGCAATAACTCAGTGCTCCTCAACCCTCTCCTCAAAGTACACCTAACAGTCCAGGACTAAATCCTGGACTGCTAGGTGTGCCTTGAGAGGGTCGAGGAGCACTGCAGTAACAGGTGAACTGGTGATATATTTGTTAGGTGAGGGAACGTTTTTCAATAATTCTTGGTGCTCTAAGTTAGTTATTAGTCTTTGACACTAAAGCATTCAATGATGCTTGAAACCTAGTCCCCATCAATGTGAGAACCAATGACAGAGGGAACTACAGTTTTTATGCCACTATTGTTTTTATGAAAAACACATTTTCATAGTGTCTGTTGGTTGGCTGAGCGTTGCAGGAAATGTAGCTCAAAAACAACATGTGAATGGTGAAAATGAGTCATCATGCTTCCACCTTTCATGTTTCCAAGCAGGCAAACTCTGCTTTCGCTTTGTACGGCTCTATCAAAATGTTGAATTCTCTTCCAGAAGAAAAAGCAAAAAATAAATAGCTCTGAAGATGTAGATAAAGGCATGCGCCAATTTTACATAAGAATTAGGTTTTTATACTTTTGGGTCACCTCTAAATTAAATTTTGAGCTCTGTGAAGACAGATGACAGACATATCTGTCATCAGACGCGGCAAGCTCATCACACAACAAAAGAGTCTTCACTCGAGAGATAACAACACTGAACAGAGCAACGTTATTTTCTCATTTATTTGCATAAAATACAGAGAAAAAAAAAACAGTACATTTCTCACATGCAGCTGGAAAAAGTTCATCTATAATACTAAAAATGCAGCTGTACAGATAATAAGAGGATACGGTTTTCTCTGAAGATACTAAGACTGTATCATTTTTTCCAGATTACTTATGGCCATATATCAAGCTCGATAATTTAGTGATAGCCTAAAAATTGTTATAGGAACCTGTTGATGGAATTAAACTTTCCCTAATCCTTCTCTACCCAAGATTCCTGAAGGGTTAGAGAAATGAAGTACGTCAACAAATACAATTTTTTAGCTAAAACAGGCATTTCATGAGAGCAGGGCCCAGCATACAAACTATATTCAGAGAGCCTGGCTATAGCCAATACTCCCTCTTTTTCACATTACACCATTTTACAGGTTTGTAATCCCTGGTGGTCTAGCAGTGGGAGTCAGAGATCTGTGACATTAGTGGTAGAGATGTTTTTTTCATTCCTTTCTTTTATTGATGATAGTATATCTCACTTTTGAAAATTAGCAGGTGAGATAGGTCTATATTACTGAAGACAATGATTCCCTGTCCCCACTGCTAGACCTCCTTCTTGTAAGATCTCCATGAAAAAGTGAGGTTTGTGCCTTTTAGTTATGACTGAAGTAACTATCGGCATGTGAGTGCTACCCTCTGATGCTATGATAGAGCTGTCCTGAGCTATTTTAAAGTGAAAGAACTAATTTTATATATTTGAGGGTCCCTGTGTAAATTGATCTGGGATCAAAAGATTGTTTAAATATTTATTAGGTGCATTTATAGACCGGTAGAGATAGTTGAAACACACTAACTCTTGAAAATAAAGTATGGTTTTCAGAATTGTATTTCCAGATTGTGATGGAAGGTGTCTACACTCCACACTCTCTATCCCTGGTAGGTCCCTTTCTGATCGCTTTTCTGTCTGCACGGAGCATATTGAAATCTGTCTAGCCCATACTACCCTATCTGTGTGAATGATTGTCCTTTTCCTTCCTTGATATCTTGCTGTGTGTCTACATGGATGCTATTGCTTGGGAATAGCGTTATTGTAAAGTATTTATATTAAAAGTAAATGTGTTAATAACTTGAAAAAAAGACAACAACAAAAAATTTAACGTCTGAAGGTATAGAGGGCTTCCTTATGCGTTGGCCAAATGATGACAACTGTATTCCCCGGTTATCCATACTGTGGATACCATACTGTAAAAAAAATATCTAATTTTATTATGATTTGAAATCACAAAATATTTCCAAACTCTCAATCTCTCAACTCATTCATGTGGTACAAATGCTAAAGAGGTGAGCAATCAGGAATGAATTCAATACATGAGAATTTTTATTCCAATTTAGTAAGAATCGGTTAAAGAAACACTTGTTTATCACCAGGATTGAGCCACTCGATTGCAGTTCCTTAATGGGTGATCAAAAAGTTAACATTTACAAACTAAGGGCTGGCCAAATGGGAGACCCCCGGCTGATGAATGACAATTCCTATGATGTCCAAAAGCTGTCAAAGCTTCATTGTAATTATAGCTCCCTAACAGCTTGTGGATTAAGCTTTTGGCCATGTCTGATTTGTGACTTTACTGGATAAAACTAGAGGAGGTCCTGGCTGATTTTGTACCAATTTACTGATGTCCAGCTACGTAAGTAACCGTATTCAGAAAATACAATAGAGCTGAGCAGTGAGTGGTTATTAAATATATTACTGCCACATGAACATCCTTCCTTTCTTAGTACTTTGAGCATCCATCCTGCTCGCTCTACCAATAGACCATCTTTGGCCTCCTGTGGTCTAATTGCATTCCATGTGCTATCCCCTGACAGTGCATGGTGTAATAGTCCCAGGTCTGTAGGTAAAGTTTCCCTTTCCAGAATGGAAATGAAGATATTTGAAATTGCATGAGCAGTTTTCAGCGAGGGAAGTAGATTTCCTGAGCTCTTTCGTATCCTGCTGTGTCTCATTCACTCCAGCTGTCTTCTTGGGAAATGAGAAAGACAATGGAAAATGACATCGCGCGTCAACGTTCAACTACATGTGGCGCTTTAAATAATTTCCATTCTGTGTAGAGGTTTTCCAGGCTGCATCAATGGGAATTATAGTGCGCTGTGAGATGATGTCATAATTGTTATAAATGAAAATGGACAATTTGCTTACAAAGAAAACACAGAACTTATTTTGTGTTCCTATTTACACTTTTACTGTCCTTTGTATTTCTCTGCTGGGCAGAGCCTTACATTTTCCTTTATGATTACAGCCTGACATGAAACGTACTGGCAGTGATATAAAAACATTGCTAATGCTGCTGGGGTTCATATGATACCTCCATTAGTTAGTGGTGGCCCAGTAAAAGCCGTCACCTCCACATAGCTAATTAATGTCAGGTGTGGGTTGTGCTATTTTATTCTCAATGGTTTTTATTTTATGATTAACACTGTATACCTGACACAACATGTAAATTAATTTAACCCCTGCAGCTCTACGCAATTAGAGCTCAGAATGTATGCACTTATATGGCAATTCTCTATGGAGGTCAGTGTGTTTTTTTTCTCTCTAAGTTATCTGTGCTGCGCGGTCTACCTTGGTACGCACTTCAACAGTACTTATCGAGGGCAGGGAACACTTTTTTTTCCCCTCCCAAATCAGCAATTTTGACTGAAATTTTCTAACTTGTTTTTAAATTCGCTACAGTTTTACAAACTAATTTCCCCTTTGATTTACACTGGTCTTGAGTAAAAGCAACTTTGTGTGAAATGCGTCTGGCATTTATTATCTTCTGCAAGGTACCAGCTAACACTTATTACGTTCAGAAAATTACATTTAGGAAGAAAAAAAACATGGTAAAGACAAAATTGTATGGTTATAATACTTAATGACCTATACATTACCGAACATTAAACCCACGCTTTTGCTGCAAATCCATAAACTTGATTTAGGACTGAACCCATCTAGGACTGTATTCATTTCAACAATCTAGAAGCCAGAATAACTGGCTAGTAGGCCCAATTCACTGAAAATGAAGACTGTACGCCATTCCTTTTTGAAACACTATATTTTTTTCTGACTATTTCTTAAAAAGCATTCCTCACACTTCCACATAGCTAAATAAAATTGAAAACTAATCTTTCACAGTACAGTGTCAGTTTTTTTTGGCTACATACTGCTTTATAGAGGAGAAACGTCATTAAAGTTGTGCTTGAATTGGATTGTACATAAATTGCAGAAATGTTAGTTCTGTCTTTGGTGGGGAATTGGCCAAAAGGACTCAAAAGGGTAGGAGATGGCGTGACTTTCTGTACTGGAAAGGTGATGAAAGAATGTATTCTTGAGAACACAAAGTAATATTTTAGGGATATAGAAAAAACGTATAGACCACACTCTGATACCTTGGTTACCATGCCAACAGCTGCCTGTTAACATAGTAACCAGAGTCTAGAGGGAACCGTTTTCTGAGAGGTCTCCCACGGTGTATCTTGTCCAAATATTGTTGGGGGTTCATCTAGAGTCCTCTTGTAATCAATAGTCTCATCAAAAATCTATCTCAGTATTCACTGTTCTTCATTAGGTCCAAAATCCAGAAACTGCTGGCAAATTAAAACCTGGACCTTAGATGGTAAACGGGTGTTCACAAACAGCCTTCACTGAACAAATACATCTTTGTTACCTGGTGCGTTCTTTTGAATTGAGATCTCTATTATAAGTTATAAGTTAGTTTGATCTGCTTGATACCCTGAGATGTCCTAGATAAGAAGAAAAACGAAATCTCACACCTCATTAATTTCTACATAATGAGACATTAAACTATGCTCTGTCCTATCATTAAGAATATTATTATGAAGGACTAGTACTCACTACTCAATTTGTATTAACTGTGTTCGCTGTGTTGAACTTGACAACATCACAGTGATCACTAAGGTATCATGTCCCAGCACTATAGTTAATCTTTCGTTTTATAGTTTGTATCTTTATTTAATCTACCTTGAAAAAATGACAATATTTAGCATTTTATATTTCAAACAGTCTGGCAGTTTTAAACACATCTTGTAATTGGGGACTACCAAAAGCTGTCTACCCTTGTGTCTACCT